TGGGGGAGTGGGGGGGAGAGACGGTGAGCTGTGGGTTGGGGGGGTAGACTGTGAGCTGTGGGTTGGTGGGGGGACACACTGTGACCGAGCTGTCGGGGGGGGGGGGGGGGGGGGGGGTGTGTGTGGGTGTCTGGATAATGTACCCGTCCCTGGGCTCTTTCTGCTGGGGGGCCGTGCCGGCGGCCAGCCCGTTCCCGGGCACAGACGGTGACCGGGAGGCGAGGAGCCGCCGTTCAGAGGCCGCCGCCGCCGGGGAGGAGCAGGGCGGCGCTGGCGAGGGCACCTCGGGCGGCCCCGGTAAGAGGCAGCGCCGCTACCCGGAGAAGGAGAGGGTACAGGCGGCCAGCTGGAGCCTGGAGAGGGGCAGCGAGACAGACGATATCGCCCTGAAATACATTCGGCCGGACGAGTGTGTGAAATACATGAGGGTGTGTGTAGATCCAGGTGAGAATCTCTCTGAGCTGCTCCGTTCCCTTTGTGCATCTCTAATTCATCCTGTAACTGTGTTTCTGCATCAACCTGTTTAGAGATGCTACAACTCACCTCTGGAGCAAGTGGGACTTGAACCTGGGTCACCTACCTCAGAGGTAGGGATACTACCACTGCGCTGCAAGAGCTCATCTATAGCCCCCACCCGAGCTATTTGCGAAGTCAAACTGTTACTCAGTAGTTAGCGCCGCGACCTGGTTCGATTCCAGCCTCGTGTGACTGTGTGGAGTTTGCATGTTCTACCTGTGCAGCCCAAAGATGTCCAGGTGAGGTGGATTGGCTATGCTAAATTGCCCGGAGTGTCTGGGGATGTGGAGGGCAGGTAAACGAGGTACGGGAAATGCAGAGGGACAGGGGTGGGGTGAGGTGAGGAGGGGGGATGGGATGCTTTTTTACCCTGATGATTTATTGTACTCACATGTACCTAAGTACAGTGAAAAGCTTTGCAGGCTAATCATAGCAAACAAGGACATACAGATCGTAGCGGGTACTTAGAACTTGGCATACAAGGTTATAGTTGCACAGGAGGTACACAAAGCAGGATAAACATTAGCAAAGTCCATTCAACGGCATTCACCACAATGCTATGCTATGCTAGAGTGCACCTTTGAAGCAAGTAGGACTGGAAAGCCAGACCTCCTGGCTCAGAGGTAAGTACTCTACCTACTACTGCACCCTAAGAGCCCCTGTTCTGCCTGCTATTAACTTGCTCCAGGCTGATCACTGGCATACAAACCCAGGGGGAAGCATGACATCTTTTTAAGTGGCATAGCCTCACAAGTAAGGGGAAGCAGATTTAAGACTGAATTGAGGAGGAACTTCTTCACTGGAAAGGTTGTGGATCTATGGAATTCCCGGCCCAGTGAAGTAGTTGAGGCTTCCTCATTGAACGTTTTTAAAGCTAAGATAGATAATTTTTTGAACAGTAAAAGAAATAAGGGTTATGGTAAGAGGGTGGTTAAGTGGAGCTGAGGCCAGGAAAAGATCAACCCTGATTTTAGTGAATGGGAGTGGGCTTGAAGGGTCAAATGGCCTACTTCTGTTTCTGGTTCTTATGTTGTATAAATACCCCACTCTCAGGGGAATCATAATATCACTCAAATTAAAAGAAAAGTAACAATAATTTTGAGATAACACAGAATAAGCTGGAAGAACCCAGCAGGCCAGGCAGCAAAACAGAGCAGGAAAGTTGATGTTTCAGGTCAGGACCCTTCTTCGGTTCTTGCTAGCTCAACGATGGTTTTCTAACTGATATTAAACAGTGGGAGAGGAAGAGGGGAAGAAGAGTACACATCATTTTGATGAAATTTGAATTATCTACTGCTTCTCTTTCCACCAAACTCCCCGCTCCCCCCACCATGGTTCCTCTCTATTACTCCCAGCAATACTGGAAGATGCTGGTGCATTTATTCTGCTTGACGTTCTCAACGCACTAGAATCAGAATATAGTGTTGAAGCTCAATCAGTTCCTTCCACTATCACATGGAGAAGAGAACTTCCTGAAGTCATGTTAAGTGACCTGCCTGCCGAGGTAAGGTGATAACCCGCTTGACAGTTAACCCATCTTTCGAAAAGTACTTTTCGTTTTACTGTCACTGTTACCAGACCTCAGTGCTGACAATAGACATTTGTAGTCAATTTGACTCAACATACAAGACACCTTAGGGAAAAGGGACACTCATTACTTCATTTTTTCCAAAAAACATATTCGTACACAAAGCCAGAGTTGGCATTGTCTTGGCTAATAGTTCTCTTTCAACCAAACCTGATAAAAATAAACAGATTATCTGGTAGTTCAATTGCTGTTTGAGAGGCATTGCAGACTGTAAATTAGACACCACATATACTTATCTGTTGAATTATGGTTGTTATTGTAAGTGATTGAATGAAAAGCTTTTGGATTAAATAAAAAAAGGTGCAAAATAGTTTTTTTCTTACTGCTAATTATTATCCATCAGCCAGGACATTCCAAATAACTTGTTCAAGTGAATATAGAGTGACCATCTTCATAGGGATGATAGAAACACCAATCATTTCATTGTTATGCCATTTTCTTCTTTATTCCCAACATTCATCCATTTAAATTTCTCTCTAAAGGAATGAATCTTACCACAGGGCTGTATTGTAGCTGTTAATTCAGACTAAAAACTTATAAATTAACTTTAATATGCTTGGTGTCTTGCACAGCAAAGGGAATATTTGCTGCACCTTTGAAGTAATCTATTACAGCTCTTTTAACAAATAAAATCTCAAATATTTTGAAAACCAAACACCAAAAGGACTCATCCACCTCTCACTTCCTCCCTCTAACTCATACAACACAGAAATCATAGAATCACTGGCCTGTTTCCACACTGTCATTCAGCCCAACAAGTCCACACTGACTCTCCAGAGTGTATCCCACTCACTGTATCCCTGTAACCCTGCATTTCCCATGGCTAATCCAACTAACCTACACACTATGGGCTATTTCCCATGGCCAATCCACCTAACCTGCACATCTTTGGATTGTGGGAAGAGATCGACGCACCCGGAAGAAACCCACGCAGACACGGGGAGAATGTGCAAACTCCACACAGGCAGTTGCCCGAGGGTGGAATCGAACCTTGGTCCCTGCTAACCACTGAGCCACTCCTTCGGTCCAACCAACCCATACCAAACATGTTATGAAACTAAACTAGTCCACATGCCTGCTTCTAGCCCATATCCTTCCAAACCTTTCCTATTCATGTACTTACAACACTTAAAAGACATTTTATAACTGTGTCCACATCCACCACTTCCTTCAGGAAGTTCATTCCACATGCAAATGTAAAACATTTGCCTCGTCTTTTTTAAAAACTCTATCTTCTCACCTAAAAAAAAATTCTCCCTGCTCTTGAAATCTCCCATCCTAGGGGGAAGACAACTACCATTAAACCTATCTATCTATACAGTCATGATTTTGGAAACCTCTATAAAAGGTCACCTTTTGAGCTCCTATACTCCAGTGAAAAAGTCCCAGCCTGTCTTTATAACTCAAACCTTGTTCTGCTGTATGATTGGCTGGTTTTCTGGGCTATTTAACCATTGTAGGGTACATATCTTGTCCAACTAGGACTTCAAATACATCAGTTGAAGCACTTTCCAGCAATGGTTACTGCAGCTTGTAGGGACTAAGCCTTCTTGCTGCTTTTTATTTCCATCTGTACTCCAAAGGGCATTCAGGCAAATTTCAGCCCCCAAAATATTAGCTGCCTGGGCACTGATATTATTCATGTTTCTGAGATAGTTTACAGATAACCTGCAATTCCAAAATGTTCCTCAGTTTTATTATTCAGTGACTTTTGGAGAATTCCCTCATATTTGATAAAGCAACAATGTTTAAACAATAATGAATGCCAGGCTGAACTGCACCAGAAATAGGACAATTAGGTAGGTTGTTTAAAGAATAGATACCTTTTGTAGTCTGTCTTTTTTGGGCAGCCTTCAATTCAGTAAGTACTGTTGCAATATAGTACTGTTCAGTTCTTTTTCTAATTTCCTGGAGTTGTTACTTGCCTGTAGCTGAAGAAATATTGAGGAAAGCTATAGAGTATTTAGTCAGGGTCTTCCCTGTAATCAGCCGACCATTATGGCATATTTTCAAAACAGTAATTAGATTTCAACTGGTGTGTATTTAGTAACAAGTGATTTGTGCTTACAGACTAAAAATATGTACAAATCCAAGGAAGAAAATCAAGTTTTGGTGCTGCTTCCACCAAATCACTTTCTCAGGATGGTCTGGTCACATAAACAGGTAAAAAGCAATGTTTAGATATTTAAGCAATTGTAGTTAATTGCATAGAAGTGTTTTACATTAGAGAAGGTTTCCGTTGTATTATGGGTATAATCACTACAGTACAGTACTTCCACCTACTTTATCAAAAAGTAGAAAAGCAACTTGAGTCCAAGCTGGGAGATAGTAAGAAATGCAGATGCTGGAGTCAGCAATAACAGTGTGGAGCTAGAGGAACACAGCAGGCCAGGCATCAGAGGAGCAGGAAAGCTGACGTTTTGGGTCGGGACCCTTCTTCAGAAATCCTGGTCCTCTGATGCTGTCTGGCCTGCTGTGTTCCTCCAGCTCCACACTGTTTTCTTGGAGTCCAAGCTAGATGTTACAATTCTTTCAAAAGCAAAAGTTGCATGAATATGCTGATCGCACGGTAAAATGGTCATTGATAGTCAGCAGAAAGCACATTACATTTTCAATAAAATGACTAATCACTAAAAATTACATTTGGTCAAAGCTTTTTATCTTACATTCACAGGACAGTTCACTAGAAACATGAATCAACATAAAAAGGGAACTTTTTTTGGCAAACAGTCTAGATGAGTGCAGAATGAAAAGATATGACAAACTGTCTTTATATCAATTTGAGTTTTGCACGATCAAGTAGGTAATCAATTCCCCACCTGCAGCATTGCACTGAATGTTTGAAAATGTAATTCAGACGTCTTGAAACATTAACACGTTTCTTCTCCACAGATGCTGCCAGACCTGCTATTTTTAGCATTTACTCTCTCTCTTCTTTGTTCATCTGTTTCTACTTTTTTATTCTTTTTCTATTGCCCTCTTTCCTTGCTGCGTACTGTGTAATATGGCAGTGTGTGCTGGGGGAAGGAACCAGCAATGATTGTATTCCCAGGTGGTTCCCCCCCAGTTACCTCTGTGCAGTCACATGCTTCCTCCTTCACCTGCCCTTTCCTATCACCATCCCCTCTGAACTAAATGCTTAACTGATTTATTTCCTCTTGTTCTGATGTCAATTCATCCTCTTTCAAGCAAACAATCTCCATTCACTTCCCCACTCACTCCACTACTAGTTTCTGATAAAACCTGATAACCAGTGACTTAATGTTTACATGTATTGGTCCCAGGGATTAAACTTTATTTAGCACAAGTGAGATGTAATACATTATTGTATCCAAGTATCTGAACAGTAGCTTACAAGGTATAATTGTGCATTCACAGAATCCCTACAGTGTGGAAGCAGGCCATTCAGCCCATCAGGACCCTCCAAAGAGCATCCCACCAAGGATCCCACACTCCCATCCCTGTAACCCTGTATTTCCCATGGCCAATCCACATTCGGGGATGTATAGGCTATTTAGCATGGCCAATCCACCTAACCTGCACATCTTTGGACCGTGAGCAAACCTGAGTACCCAGAGGAAACCTGCGCTGACACAGGAGCATGTGCAAACTTCATATAGATAATCGCCAGAGGCTGGAACCGAGCCCATGTCCCTGGTGCTGTGAGGCAGCGGTGCTAACCACTGTCACTGTGCCACCATGTCATGCACTGTATTACTCCTTTAAACACTCTAAATTTTACCAAAGTGCCTAAACTATTCATGCTTGGGGAGTTATTGAACTGTAGATTTTCCATTTTCTCCCCCCAGTTGGATTCCCTTCTTACTTCCCTTTCTAAAACTCTGGTCTGGATTAGTCTCTTTATTGCATGCGAACAATTGATCATAAAATTAAAGAAATGCCTTGCACACAATGAAACCAGAGTAGAGCAAAAAAGGGAAAATGTTCTGAGCTTATGGCTTAATTTGACAGATATAGCTGTGGGAATAAAAGGGAGCATGATTTTGCGTGGTACACTTTACAGTTAATCACATCAGTGAAGCACTTTAGCTGAAAAATTGGCCCTTCCATTCTTTTTATAGCACTCATGCCAATGAGCCAATGCCTGAGATCCCATCATTTCCATCCCTGCTCCCTGATACTCAATTTATGAACTTACGATGGCAGTTTACTTTCTGGTTTGTTTATAGTGGTCTGGAAGTCAGTCGAGTGTCATGAAATCAAAGAAGTGTAAATTAAGAGACTGTTAATTTATCACATAAACATTGTTTTTAAATCATGTGTCTTTCTGGATGTGCAAACAAAATTGACACCACTTTCTAAGAACCTACTTTTCTCTTTGCCTCAGATGCTGGAGATTATAAAAGTGTAAACTGTCATGGCCTCTATTAATTATTAGTAAAAGCAACTAGTTGCTTTCAAAATTCAACTATTGAGGTTGAACGCAGACATTGGATATTAGAAATTTCAGTCCTTGAGAAAAAGTTTGGATTAAATAAGCTTCCAGAATGACTTGGATTGTGGAAACCTAGTGGTCATATTCCACTGAGTGACAAGTATTTCCTGCTTAAAACAGAACTGAATTTATAAATCAGGTAAAGCCACATATTTACTTGAATTGTGGAGGAGACTGAAGGTCTCCAAAAAAAATGACCAAGTTTAAAAAAAAACTCAAAAGCTGGTACACTATTTCATTCTTTTGGCAACTTAAGCATTAAAATACTTACCACCATCTACAAGAACACCACAAATATTTGAAATATTTGTTTCAATCTGCTGTAAAATAATTTCTTCTTCCTTTGTCAGAAAATGAAGGGCATTTTCACAGAAAACATTTGCGAAACGTTTGATAGCTTTATAATGAGAGTTCTGGACAAGCAACCTCACAGAGCAGCCACATTAGCTGTCATTGGACTGGATACTTACACGAGGTAACTGTGGACTAAACTTGCAATTTTATTGCAGACTTACTGCCAAGTACAGCACACATGTTCCAAACTGCCAACTGAAACAGAATAAATATTTCAGAAATTGAAAACTGCTTTGTTGAAAGTACGTCAGTGACATGATTTCAGCTGAAGTTTGGCTTGTACTCCATTTCACATATATGAGGATATTTTTATAGTTATCCTTGAACAATGGCTCTCCATACAATGGAGATTTTCTGGTTACAAGTGTGGACCATCAAGCTTCTATTATTTTAATGGACATTTAAAAAGTTTGTGAGATTGTACTCTATAGTGACTGTAACGGATCAGTTTTAAGCCAATATGAAGAACTTTCATTTCATTGCTATTAAAACATGCTCAAACCACAGCAAGGTTAATTTTATCTTTACATTTCACTCGTCATGTCATGGAGTCCAATTCTTTCTTTCTTCTCTCCCAGCACCACCCAAGTTAGAGGATGTAAATGCAAGCAAGCTCAAAACATCAGAAAGGTCCAAAGATTTATTCCATATCTTATGCTGACTGAAAGCAACACATTTGGGTGTAGTGGCTGAAGACTATGGCAGGAGGAGGAATTAGAGTTCAGTTGCGGATTTCAAATTGGACTGTTGGATGGCAAAGTAGGGAAAAAAAATAAAGGTTCATTTGCAGCTGTGACAACCTCCATGCTTAAATACACTGGGCTTAAATGTTAACTCTGCTTTTCTCTCCACAGATTCAGAGAGATATGCAGAGATGCTCTAGCAATTTCTGCTTTTGTTCCATGGTTAAGTAGTCCACCCATACCATTTTGGAAACCATACACAATTTTAATGAGAAAGTTGATAAAAGGTTGATTTGCAAGAGAAACATAGGGGTTGTAAAATCTTCTGCTTTGAAAACTATCCTCATATTACGGAGCCAAGACACACACTTCTGAAGAAACTCTTTGTACGCTATTATTTGAAGACTCAATTTTATTTTGAAACACTGGCGTGTTATGATGCTGTAACCCATTCAGTTAGGTTGGGAATATATGCACTATTTTAATACCTCACCGAAGAGTAACTGTTATTAAATTATTTAGGGAAAAAGGGCTTTACAGTCCTGTGAAACGACCGAAGAATTCAGAAAACGATCAGGTTGAAGACTCGGAGTCTTGGGTCAGCAGGGAGCTTGGATTGACTTGTGCAGATTTGGATGAGGTCTGTATTTGCATTTTACATTTGACTGTGTTCATCCATGGACAAATAAAA